ATATATATATGTATATATATATATGTGTATATATATATATGTGTATATATATATATATATATGTATATATATATATATATGTATATGTATATATATGTATATGTATATATATGTATATGTATATGTATATATATATGTAGAGTAATCATTGACAGTCAGCAATGGAAACTAGAATAAGAAAAACTATTCAGATCACCTAAACATCAAGTGATGATTTATGTTGATTGAATGATTTCTGGTACATGTGACTGACAATTAGATACATACTGAGAGCACCTCATGAACCAAAAATCTATTGACTTCAAGTGATTTTAGTACAATATGTAACAGCTCTTTCTGTGTAAACAGGTGTCTTTTATTGTGTGGAGAAGAAGACATACATAAAATTAATCCACCTTAGCTAGGCAGAATCTTATATTGGGATATCAGTGTCCAAAGTTTGCTCCCCATGCACATCAAGTAAGAGGAAAAGTTTAGAGTAGTCAACAGGTCCTCCATCAGCTGGTGTGGATGATGACAAGAAGACCATCAACCTGTAACAATGCCTGCTGCCCACTTGCTGCTGTCTTCCATCAGCTGACATGGATGAAAGAACAATGCCAACAAACTGTGCAGGTCCAATGCCAGCTAACTCTCTTCACCATCTCAACAGCTGCGGTAGAAAGTTGACAAGGCATGGCCATGTTGAACACACAACACAACTCTGTTCATAGAGTGGTAGCAATAGGCTACCTTCTTTTTCCTTTTCTTTTGGTTAAATTCTGGTCTTTGTATAACTTGTGATCAGAGTTTTACTTATCTATCTCGATTAACGCAAGAAAATAAATATCGAGAAAATTAAGTTTAAAGAAAATTACCGTCAAAGATTTATCCCTCCCTCACATTTTATGAGATTCAAAATCGATAATTCCTCATGAATTCAAATGACAATTGATCATATGATATCTATGATAGAAATCTAAATAGTCTCAATATTTAGTCTCATATCGATTAAATATTATACAAGAGTCAAGAATTATCTCTATCCTTAGAGAATTTTTTTTTTAGTACATCAAAAAAGATGACACCCTAAAAACTTTGCTATGTTCATCTCAAAATAGATAATTTCTTATATATAATTGGCCCATATGAAAAAGATAAATGATGATCTATAAGGAAAAGAAAAACTTGCAGGGATGCATGTGCCACAAGCTTTCATATGAGGCTGAAGGAATATATATATATAATCTATTTATCTCAATCTATATATATATGTGTGTGTACTTTTAAGCTGTTGTCGGAGGACAACTCTGACAAGCACAACACACAAAAGACATGCGCATTTCCATGGAACAGCTAAGCACATGAAGAGAGCAGAAGAGACCGGCAACATCACGCACTGTGAAAGCCTTTGACAGAGGTTGAGCACAAGACAACTCATCGATGTTCCTCAGAGAAAGAAGAAGGATCGATGCTGTTCCACCACACCTCAGATGATTGATGCAAGGCAACTTTGCATGGCTGTGAAGGAAGAACATGATTGCCGAGTCATCCCAAACATCGAGGTATCACAACCTGAATTATACTCCGTGAGAAGTTAATTTGCAGAGAGGCCAAACTTCTTCTTCTTCTTCTTCTTCTTAGACCTGCAAATATCACACGAGCACTCACTCCCCCTTAGTATGTCTCAGCGTGAGGGAGAGGCATAGACTTGGCCTCCTCACGCTAAGTTTGCCACATGGAATAAAGAAGGCTGGAGAAGATCCTCCTCCCACCCATTCCAAAGATTTCAAGGCTTTTTATATTGAGAGAGAGAGAGAGAGAGAGAGAGAGAGAGATTCGATGCACGCAGCCACCATTATGGTAATGCCAAGATCATGATCATGCCATCATCACCTTATCAAACAAAACTCAACCATGCAAAGGTGTGCGAGAGGAATAAATACTTGAAATGGATTGAAAGGCAAAACAATCCTCATAGATTCCTTAATAAATTCTTAAATTAACAAACAATTTCTCAAAAATATTAGGATTATTTACCCAAAGGAAAAACCCTCGATTTTTATGCTCATCTATTCAGAATTTATCCAAGAATTTTATTTGTACAATTGGATAAATATCTCATTGATCTTTTCGATTTATTATACGATTTAGTGTTAAATCGGATCGATTCAGTTTGATTTGTTCCTTCTTTTACTTTCATCTATCTTCTTTGTCTTTCCTTCGTCATTACCTCTTTTCTCTTCATTATTGAGAGAGCGACACATAATTGACGTTTCATTAATCCAAATCAATTTAAAATTTTTATAAAAATTAATTAAAATAGAGGGTAAATTTAGGATTTTTTAATTAAAAAGATACGCTGGAGTAATTATTCAAATTTTTTCTTGATAAATTATTCTAATAATCATGCTTAATTATTCATGAGTGAAAATATTTTAATTTATATCATTCCGAATATCTCCACATATGTACCTTAAAATATCATTCTTACATAAAATTAAAAAAATTGCTAATATTATCCATATATCCTCAAAAAAGCAGGAAGAAATTTTAAATAAATCCATAAATTATTTTAAAGAAAAGCAAAAAAACAGGTCGCCTTGCCAATGGAATTTTGGGAAAACGCGGACTCGTTCGAACTCCACCCACTCGGTTACCCGAGCGTCCACGGCACATTAGCCACAACCTCGGAGCGGGCTCCAGCGCGACCCGGTCGCCGAAACCTCCTCCCTGACCGGAGTGACGAAGACGCCACGTCACTTCCACCTCACGTGGGACCCACCTCCGATTCGCCCCCACCCTCGAGACCAACGGGGCGGGGCGTCACGCGTCGTCACGGGGTTGTGTTTTGGGAAGAGGGCGTTGGGCTGTCACTCGCGGTACCCGAGAAAGGGACGTTCGACCGTCGGATCTCCCCGCCGAGCCATCTCGTCCGTACAAAACCCGCATCGGCTTTTCGGACTCACGTTGGCTCGCCAAGAAATGCCACCACAAGCTCACAACAATTACGATTCCGCCCCCAACCCCCCCGCGCCAGTCCAAAAACCCGCGAGCTCAGTCTCGGATTCTTTGTCGGGTATGGATTCTCAACGCATATTCCGATCCGACATCTTATCGGATCCCCCACTCGACCGTGTTGCCATCCTTGTCGCGCCCTCTATTGGCCAACCCAAGAAGAAGACATGCGTAGGTTTTTTAGCATGGAGTTGGTGGCGATGATGTGGACAACATAACATAACTACGAAGCGGTAGACATGACATGAACCTACCCGAGTAGATGAGGCAGCAGCTGAGACCTCGGAGCTTCCACTGCTGCCATGGGAGCCACGAACAGGGAGAGACCCTCCGAGCATGGCTTCTCTGTGGTCGGTGGGTCCCCGCTGCAGGGCTGGTGGGATGCCTCGCCAGTCGAGAAAGCTCGGTGGGCGTCAGATGGGAAGAAGACAAAGGCCATGCATGGATGCTTGCCGTGCTGTGTTTTACCGAGTCAAAAGTTTGTCGCCCGTAAGAAAGTTGCTGATGATTGCGAGACAAAGCTTGCATTAAATATTGGATGATGATGAACGGAGGGCAAGATTGATGGTGAGGAGGACAAAGGCCTAAACCTAAACCCCATGGATCGGGTCCTCCCTTTGCTCCTTCTGCAATAGCTCCCTGGATTTCCAGCTTTCCGAGATTTTACCGATGGCTATCGCCTGTGCTCATTGATGGCAAAGTGGAAATAACGCAAAAAGGAGGCTGAAAAGGAGGAAGAGAGGAAAGTTTCCATTTTGATGGGGTGCATGAATTGAGGCCTCACGGCTCACACCCTTCTCCTTCATCCAATTCCCACCCCCAATCCCAGCCTCTGTTATTGCTTCTTGCCCTATTTGACCTCCGCTCCTCATTTATATTCTCCCTTCTTCCAGCCTTCATCCCCGCCCCCCCTCTCTCTCTCTCTGTCGCTATTCCGTCCAAAGTTTTCATCTTTGTATCTGTTTCATCCAAAGTTTACATCTTGGCCTCTCCCTGCACCGTGGTGTTCGCTTTTCGACCCTCTCCGGGTTCTTTGGCCGTCCCCCGCAAGTTCTCCGACAAGCTTTGGTCGTCTTGGTATGCTTTGACTTGTTGCGGGGTGGTAGAGGTTTGCTTCGAGACCATGACGGTGGAGGAGAGGAAGGGGAGCAGAGACCAGTTCCCGGTGGGCATGCGTGTTCTTGCGGTGGATGATGATCCCATCTGTCTCAAGTTGTTGGAGGCCCTGCTCGTCCGTTGCCAGTACAGTGGTCTGTGCCAAATTTTGGATTTTTGCTCCTTGATTCCAGTTTTTTTTCCCCTTCATCCAATCAAGTTGGAAACTGGAAAAGCAAATATGTTGTCTTTTTTGAGATTTGCTCTTTTATTTCTGTCATTTAACCGCATTTTAGTTGCTTTTTCTTTGAGCAAGGCATATCATGTTGCTTTTTGATGCCTTTTTCTCCCCCTCCTTGATTGATTATTTGCATTGCCTAGAAGAATAATTGAGTCATCATTTCTTCCTCTGAGAACATGATCTTGAACTTAGCAACTGTGGCTGTTGGTTTGTCTGTGTTCTTCAGTTACGACCACTGATAAAGCAATCACAGCACTGAAGCTGTTAAGAGAGAACAAAGACAAATTTGATCTGGTTATCAGCGACGTTCACATGCCGGATATGGATGGCTTCAAGCTCTTAGAGCTCATAGGCCTCGAGATGGACCTGCCGGTTATTAGTAAGTCTCCGAAACCTCTTCACTCATTTGACGACCAATTTTTCATTGTCAAGCAATTTCTTTTCATAACTAGATTTGTTGCTTTGAAATTAAAGAACAAAAAAGTTCTCTTCAACGGGAATCCGAGTTGTTTGGTTCGCGTGTCTTGTACATGTGTTATTGGACAAAATTGTTTCTGTCGAATCAGATTTAGAATAATGATTGATGAGTCACTGATGATATGCTGGTGAATGAACCGAGCGAATGATGCAGTGTTGTCTGCAAATGGTGAAACCCAAACTGTGATGAAGGGAATCACTCATGGTGCTTGTGACTACCTGCTGAAGCCTGTGCGGATCGAGGAGCTGAGGAACATATGGCAGCATGTCATCAGGAGGAGGAAGTTTGAAAGAAGATGCGACAATGATCCCGACAGTAGGGAAGATGGTCAAAAGGCTCATATTGGAAGTTCTGAAGATGGTCAGGGGGTCGCTGATCATAATGGACAAAGTAACAAGAAGAGGAAGGATCAGATTGAATTCGACGAAGACGATAGTGAAGACAACATGCAAGAGAACGAAGACCCATCTACCCAGAAGAAGCCTAGGGTTGTTTGGACTGTTGAGCTGCACAGGAAATTTGTTGCTGCTGTCAACCAACTGGGCATCGACAGTAAGTATCATCGTAGTTCCTGAGTTTGCTTTTCCCCAGTAGAGGTGAAGACAAGGAAAGCATTCATCTCCAAAAATGCTTTGTTGATTTTTTTTCTTGACTTGATAATTACTGAAACAAAAATTTTCTGCTTGTTCCTTCTGATCCAGAGGCTGTGCCTAAGAAAATACTTGATCTTATGAATGTTGAAAAGCTGACAAGGGAGAATGTTGCAAGCCATCTACAGGCAAGTTTCTCGCTTTAAATCTTTACAAATTAGACTATGATACAAGTGTTATGAAGTCATGATCATGTAAAAGTTCACCTATACTAAGTTTTACTCCTGATTTAGTCCATCATGAACTCTTTATGATCCAAGGTCTCTGAGAGCAGGAGATGGCCGTACCAATGCTTTTTACAACCTGGTCCGATTATCTATTAGATAGTTTGCCTTAAATGACTTAAATAGTTATGAATTACAATTTTAACTTACTTTACTCTGCAATCAAGTTCATGGTCAGACTACTGATCAATAAAGTCACACCTCCACAAAGCTGTTCCTTTTTCTTTGGTAAAGCTGGCAGCTAACTCTTCCATTTTTATGCTTCCAGAAGTACAGACTCTATCTGAAAAGGCTCAGTGCAGTGGCAGGCCACCAAGCTAGCTTGGTTGCAGCTGTTGGAGGTAGAAACCCTTCCTATCTTCATATGTCTTCTTTAAGTGGTCTCAGAAATTACTCTACGCTGGGTGGATCAAGACAACTGCCGACCCTCGGATCTCTTCAACTGAATGGGCTCGGTAGAATAAATGGTCCATCGACACTTGGAATGCATGGCCTGCTGCCTTCTCAGACAGTTCAGCTTGTTGGTTTGCACAAAAATGCAAGCAATCCATGTGACGATATAGGGAAGATCCAAAGGATCGCTTTACCTGGAAATCATCAAGTGAATTTGCATCAGGGGATGCCCAGGAATTCAGAGTTAGAGCAATTTCAACAACCTTTGTTAATGCAGGAATCAAAAGACCATTTGCCTGCGAGCTTATATGGCAGTGGGCTTGCATCTGGTCCTTGCAGTGGTTCTTTTCCTAATGTTCCTGACAACGCTCTGTTACTGCAAGAAAATAAGCAGCGCAATCAACCTGGAGGATTAGGCAAACCTTCATCAGTTAGAATGTCTTCCTCAAGCTCAGAGCTTTATAAGATTGATCTTCCAGATGTTTCACAGTTTCCTAATATCACTGATAGATGCAATGACTCATGGCAGGGTGCTGTTGGATCAACCGACTATTCTGCCAATACACTGCATATCTCTCTTAGTCATAATGATTTTTCTCCTGGTAATATTGGAGGAAAATTTTCTTCAATGAATTCACATGCAGCCACCAAAGCTCTTGATGAATCTCCAAGAGTTGCAGCTGGTAGTGGTGGACAAAACCGAGTTCGTCCACTTAATGAGAACACAATAGCTATGCCTGCAGGTGTTAACAAGGATCCCAAGTTCTCAAACTTCAATGTAATAGGCAACTCTGGACAGAAATGGGATTATACCTTTAATTCAAATGTCATTTCAAGTACTTCATCAAATTCTTTGTTGCCCAATCTTCGGATTACTGATGCAGCTACTCAGTGTCAGACACCAGGAAGTGTCTTTTCCAACAAAAGGTTGGATGTTGATGCAATAGGCCAAGTACATTTTGGTCCTCCGCTGGTCACACAGAATTGCATCATTGATAAGTCAACTGGTGATAGTCAGCTGAACTTTAGGAGTGAATATGCACTGGAGACGGCGAGTCTGCCGAGTGGTCTAAATTCTGACGGTTGCAGTTTCGATGATCTTGTGAATGCTATGATTAAGACAGTATGGCTCTTTCCCCTTTCTCCTTTCAGTCAATCTTTTATGTTGCTCTTTGTTCATCTTTCTGATATTGCTACTACAACAGTTAGATTAATTAGGTGAAAGGATCTTTATGGTCAGGTCAAGCCCTAGAATATCTCAACTCTATAAAAAAGAATAGCAAACTAATGCTGAAGCACCCTCTTTATAACAATTTCTAATCTTGTGGTTATGAAATTTGTGTTCTGTCATTTTGTATGCCTACTCTTATGATGTAACTATATCTAAAGTATTCTTAATCTTAAAATTTGCTCATTGGAATTTGGCAGTAATGACACTGAGAAGTCCTGTGCTATCTCTATTGCCTGTTCACAATGTTTCTCTCCGTTTTCTATCTTATTCATTTCGTATTCATATTTTTAAACCTAGAGAACTAGCTTTCAATAAAAGTTGCCCTATTCTTTGCTTTGTTTGTGATACTGATCGATTGATATCTGTGACCAAAAGGTGGATGTTGCTCATTATTCTTTGGGTTAAATGACCATGTTGGCACACCTCTTCCACGGCTTTGTCATTCCGCTACCCATTCTCGTGATAGATATGCAATAATATGTGGTCACTGTGTGGTTACTTTCAAGGACATTGAGACAAAGGCAATTATTACATTGAACATTATGATATCTGAATAATTAGATACTCAAAATTGGAATATGGTGTGGGATGATAGGTCAATATTATTGAAGGCCGATTTCCAGATGGATTTGTGTTCTTTATCAAAAAGGGTACCGGCATCACTAGGGTCAATTCTGATGTCAAAGCCAGACCATGATACTGAATTGTGTTAAGGCCTGTAAATTGCTTATTCTGTATCTACCAGAATACTAAACATTGCAAATGAGGCAAATGCTGCTCTACCTTCCTAAATTAAGGTCACTTCTCATCTGTTGAGAAAAACAGCTGCAGATACATCCTGACCACTTTCTCATACTGCAGTAACTGCTGCACCTCACGATTGGGGGATTAAAATATAAGCTTTGTTGACATAGAAACTTGAGTCATGTTCTGCGATTTTGATTCTTAATAACATTGTTCCGGCTGTAAGTATCTTGATTCAACAGTTGTTGCTACTGGGTGCTACCATGTTTTTCTTCTTATGCATCAAACTTTATGATAAAAGAAAACGAGCGACTCTGTAGACATGGTATGACTATGCTCTTCATGTTGTTCATCAACACCAATTTCATCGTTATTTTTTTCCTTTGAAACCTTTTTTATGTTTGACTTACGTACAACTACAGATTGTGTAGCGCATTGTATCCATGTTATTTTCAGTGTTAAGATCCTCCCGCTTGTCTAATTTCGTTGTTATGTCGACTGTCAGGAGCATGAGGAGGTTGCTTTCACCGACATGGACTTGGGGTGTGATGCCTACTCTTTAGGCACTTGCATGTGAAAATTTGGGCAAACTGGCTTCATCGGTCGGACTCAAAATTAGCATTATAATGCTTTACGCCCTCGACCTTGTTTGTTTTTGCTAGAATGATGAACAAGAGTGTAGACTAGGAATGGTGGAATGGGTGATTTATCATGTAGAATTTTGCACTATACAAAGCTTTATTCTGGCTTTGGCTTCATGATGCTTTGAAGTCTCATCTGTTTGAGCTGATTGATCCCCATTGTGGCCTATCCAATGGGCATGAAATCAAAGTACAGGCACCGAGTGCTGAAGACCTCCCTACCTGCTGCAGGTATGCGTTCATGGCAGATGAACATGTTTGGGATTGTGCTCTTCGCTCTCATCACTTGCGTTTTTCATCATCTGGCTTGACCAATGCTGATCGTAGCATTGAGTATCTTTTGTCTTGAATTGGTATACTCGGATTCAAATTCTGATTTTTAATAGAAAAATTCAAAGAAAAAAAGGCTTTGATGTTTTGGTTTTAATTGCTCATCTGTCAATATCCATAAAAGTAATTATTCTAGAAATTTAAATGTATCGCTAAATTGTACTAACATTGAATATAATATAATAGAATATCGGTATTGCTTAATCATTTTGTAGTAATTTGTTGACTTATATCCATTTTCCTCGTTATTATTGATAGGAACATGGTGGTGGTCGATCACCATTCGATAATTATCATCATGCGAAGATTGATGTAAAAGAAGGTTTTAATCATTCTCTATGGATTTACTCTCGTAGATAAAAGAAAGGAAGATCGTTAAGGGCTATCTTCTTCTTGTCGTCGATACGAACACCTCGATATTGAAATCATCTTGGAACCACAGCAAATACACTCGGGTTTGGATCACATTGAAGAGATTGAGTATAATATTAATAAAAGATTTAATAATAAATTTTAATTCCTAAGAAAAATTTCACACGACAATCTCAAATCTTGACCGTTGACCATAGACCAAGCCGCACGTGGTTTGACTCGGTTTCTTTTCTCGTATCTATGTCAAATAAGAGTGACGATTCTATGTTCGAACACAGGAATTGGTCTCATTTGCTGCTTAATCTCTATCTTTTTCTGTGTATGGATGTATAAGATTGAGCTTAAATTCGGTTGATCTGGAACTCGAATCTTTGATTATCGACTCGACAACATCAATCTCAGAATCAAACTTCTTCTCCTGCTAACAAAAGATTCCTATTTACAGGAACAAGGGCTGTTACTTGGGAGGAGATGACCGGAGCATCCTGCCGGAGATGGCAGCGGCCAGAGTAGCCTTGAAGACCGGATCGTTCGTCAGCGTCGCAGCCATTTGCTCCACCAGTCCCGCATGCAGATCCGGCGACTCGGCCTCCTGCGGTCGCCTCGTCGACGGTGCGGGAGATTGGCTGGTGACCGAGCTGCTGCGGCCCGACGCTTGTTGAGCTCGAGGATGAGGAGCCCGGCCATGGTTGTGCTCGCCCTCGTAGGTGGCAACCAACAACGACGGGTCCTCTGCGCTTCGTTGGACCTGCGAGACAATAGATAGCAAGAAGCTGGATCAGTTCGTGGGTTCCGTGGATGAAGGAGCTGTTGCTCGATCGGTGGTTCGGTTACCTTCTTCTTGACAGGGCAAGCTGGAGCAAAAGAGCATCTGAAGTACGCTCTCGGGCACGGGTTATCTCTGGTAATCTTCTGGCCATATTTCCTCCACTGATACCCATCTTTCACGATCTGAGAACAGCACAGAGATCTGTAAATAACAAGTGATTTGGGCAGGAATCGAAGGAAAAGATCGTGGTGAACTCACGAGGCTCGAATCGGACGGATCAGTGCGAACGTGCAGCTTCGAAACTTTGGGCTTATTCTCTTCCTTGACTCGCTTGAACGAATCCTCACTCGACGTGCTCTCCGCCTCGTTCCTGATGCAGTTCGTGCCAAGACTAGCGGCGGCGGCGGGGACGGGGGCGGGGGCGGGGGAGAAGGAATCGAGGGTGTGTCTATTCCTCTTCGTCCCGGGCGAGACGGACGCGCCCTCGGACGAGGCCTTGGATATCAGATCAGCCATCTGGCTGCGGAGGGTGCCGTAGCTCGCCGCCATGGCCGCGAGCTTCTCCTTGAGCCGCTTGTTCTCCTGGGTCACGCGGTCCAGCTCGGCCTCCAGCGCCCTCACCTGGTCCAAGACAGTCGACATCAGATCTCTACGCACCACATACCGTAATCGTGGCCGAGGTCGCAAGCTCACCTCTTTCCCGTCGTCTTCTTCGACGGAGAGCTTGCCGTCGCCGACGTGGAGACCGAGATCGAGGGAAGGAGCATTGAGCCATGCGGCCAGGTCCATGCTCGGCTTAAAGGCCGCTGCGAGGAGGAAGAGGTGTATGAGGGGAAGGGGAGGAGTCGAGACCGGAGGCTATGTAAAGAGGGAGGAAGGAGAAGCACACGGTCAGAGACCGGAGGGAGTTGGGAATGTCGGCCGCCGTCAGGAGAAGTCAAGGTGGCATGCAGCCCTCAAAAGTTGACATTTTGGGCGACTTGTTGACCTCCCCGACCGGGTGGGTGCTTCCTATGCGGTGCTGCGTGACAGGGCCGTTGGGTTTGGAATCCAATCGTATTCCCAATTGAAAGCTGGACACTGAGGGGGCCCGTTTCCGCCTTCTTATGCAACTTGTCGGGCCCACAAAGAGACAGCGTTGGGTGGTCCATCGGAGTCTCTCATCGACCAGATAATGCTGACACGTAGATTATTATTGTTGTTTCCACAAAAATGCACCAACACTTCGCGTCACGCGGAGGCATTCGGTGGGTCCGTGTGACCGATCGTCACACGTGTTACACGAAATGTGAGTAAAGAAAGATAACGTAGTCGGTGTAGGACTGTCACGTGCTGCTTCGCTTCTTTTCCCTCGTTCCTTTATTGTTATTATTAATATATACTTTGTGGGTGGCGGTGGAACACTGGACGAAGTCAAGGAGAAGTTGTTGGAAAAAGAGACACGTGGTGAAGGTCAGCAGCCGGTCAAAATCAAGGACATGTGGATTAGGGCACGTGCGGATTGATGGTTTCTCGGAAATGAGGGGGAAAAAAGGAGAGATGTGGATTCTTTCCCACTTTAGGATTGTGAGAAAAGACTATTATTGCATGAATTAGGAGTTTTTCCTCACATAATTTGAATTATTATTTCAATAATATCTTTCACTTGTGTTAAGGGGTATAAGTATCCGAGTTTTAAAATTTTAAATGATATTCGAATGTTTTAATATCAAATTTGATCATAAAGTTGATGATCTAAACTAATTTATTTTTTCAAACTCAATCCTGAAATCTTAAATCGATCTCCCTGAGAGAGTTTACTAAATCCGAATTTCTTCCAACTTGAACATAAAAAAAATTATGAGATAGTTTAAAATGAATATAAAAAAAATTCAATAATCAACTATCATATTTGGGAATATAAGCGATATTATTGGTCATATAAATCAAGTTGACATGGCTTGTAATTGATCAGGACGATTGATAGAAACTAGATTTGAACCATAATGTATGTATGCTATGCTGAATGTCAAATTTAGACATAGTTTGAGCACAAGGGACTTTTTTCTTCCTTTTTGTCTCACGTGGAAAACGTGTTTCGCTAAAAATGAGTGTGTTCATGGAATAAGTTATTTTTGATCGAATCAGCAACAGTTGTAACTTTTGATTCATTCATTCATTCACATACAATTCAAGTCAAACACGGATTCCAAAAAACAGAGCCTCTGAATTTAGACTTCGAAACATCAGCTCTAAGTTGATCTATTTTTAAGCAATATAAAATTAAGATATCTGTCAACAACATATTGTTATTTTTCAAACACTATAAAAGAGGACGATATATATATATATATATATATATATATATATATATATATATCTATTTATTATGTATTAAAAATAACATTTTGAGTATCTAATCAAATGTTTGAGAAATACAAAAAATGTTTTTATAGAAAAATCGTTTTTTAGTAATGTAAAGGAAAGAAAAAAGCATAAATACGGTAATATTCATAACGGAGAAGCGAAGCACGGACGTCCACCAAACCCTAATCGGAGTTCTAATAATGGATCTCGATCGAGCTCCTTCCGTGGCGTCCTCGCCACTGCTGTTCCTTGTCATCCTCCTTCCGGTCGCCGCCTGGGATGAGGCCACCGCCTCCGATTTTGATCATGTCTACCGTCGCCCCCCCTTCGCCAGCTCCCGGGTCTCCGGTCCAGCAGGAGGAGGAAGAACCGGATCAACCGCCAGGCAACCATGTTAAGCAACTGGCTGATGCTATTTCCAAGGTTTCAACTGAATCTGATTCTGTTGATATTAGCCTGGTTCATCATCATCGCCTGTGCTCAATGCGGATGTGACTGTCACCGGGTTCGCAGGAGAAGGTATTCCCTTTTTCTGGAGACGCCTTCGTTAGTGAATGAAGGTGTCTGTCCTGATACCGTATATGAGGGATCGGATCCGGTTGGACTAGTCAACGCTACCAAATTGGTCTCTGACCGCCGGAGAAATGGGGTGGCATTCATCCGGTACAAGCTCCCGCTTGTTTTGTTGGTCACAAGTATGATGTGCCGGCGAACATGGCAGAGAAAATGATGGTGATTCGGACGGCGAACAACGCTTCCTCAGAATCTTGGCAACCCACGAGGAACAGCTGAAGGTAGTCACTATTTGTTGGAGGAGGTGGATAATTTGGGCCTCTGGATGCTGAAGATAAGGAGTCTCAGGATCTCATCATTGCTGACCCTCCAAATCCCTTGAAGGGTGCTTTGTATAGGCAAGAAAGAAGCTCCATTGCTGAAAGCTGAAAAGGGTGTGCCAGTGACCTTAATTCAAGCTGGGCATGATGCAAAATTTTGCAATCACAACATTGTGGAACATTACCAAGGCTATCTACACTGGTGGACGACAGAGTTACTATGGTTGTGTGAATAACACACACCAGATCAAGTTTACTACCGGTCTTTGTTCGAGCAGAAAACAGGTTGGCAATGTCAGATGGTTGACTGTGGTCTTTCGGACGTAACAGCATTCTCTTGATCGATCAACTGGTTTCCGTTTTCTGGATCTTATCTGAAGGTCTGCTATCTAGTGCAACTCTACCTGAGAAGTGGATATCTTGCAATCAGATTGGGGAGTGGAATGGCAAAACAATGTTGCATATGTTGGTTGGATAGTGACAATGGGAGACTTGACGAGTGTGCACTGAACTTTTGAAAAGTTGACCTTTGTGAGATTTATACAAGAAAATGGACTCATAACGTTTGGGTTTACTCGTCCATTGGCACCTTCATGTGGAATGGCAAAACAATGTTGCATATGTTGGTTGGATAGTGACAATGGGAGACTTGATGAGTGTGCACTGAACTTTTGAAATTTTGACCTTTGTGAGATTTATACAAGAAAATGGAATCATAACGTTTGGGTTTACACGTCCATTGGCACCTTCATGCAGCAGAAAGAATATTATCAATCCAGCTACTTCTCTAAGAGTTATCTGGATGATGGTTGCCCAATTGTTAGAAGATGATTTAAGAGGAGTATGCATTCTGTCACAAGCAATAGGCCTGTTCTGGGCTGTGCATGGCTTAATGACGTTTGTGGCTCAGGAGATTTTGCTACCTGGGGGAATTTTGGCTGCAAGGTACTTGAGGCATGTAAAGGGTGATGGCTAGTACCAATTACATGTCTACTTACAGTACTTTGAAAGAGCTATTATTTGGTGTTTCTTTCGCAGCTGCTGAAATTTGTGGTTTTTATTCAAGTTTAATGCATCTGAAATTTGGTGTAACTGCCATACTCTTGGCATGTGCACAACCAATAAATGCATACGTACATGCCAAAAGACCAGATGAAGGAGAGATATCTTCAATACAGATAATTTGGGAGTCTTTTCGTGTTATTGTAGGAAGGTCTGCTATCATAGCTGCAGGTGCTGTGCTTATTAGTGGAATGAAGCATTTTGGACATAAGTATGGCAGTGAGAATGTTCAAGGACTAACTTTGTCATTAATATCATGGGTTTTGACTTGTGCCCTTTTTGGTTACGTACTTGGAATACATGGAGGCTAAGCGAAGAAGAATAGGTAGGAGCTCTTTTAAAGGCAATTGTTTGCTGTGAAGCACTGACGAAGATGACCTGGTGGATCAGTTGCATTCGGAAAGGACAGTTACTGAAAAGGTCTCAGCCATCTGGAATAATGGTACTGCAGCTTGAATCTATTAGCAGATAAGGTACAATTTTTTATACTTCAAAGCAAAGTCAAAATACTTCTGCTTTGGGTTTCTTTTTCATGTATAGAGAAGATGAAGCCATAATGATTGACTTTGTCTGAGAAGATTATTTCAACGTAAAAACATGTTTGGTTACAGCTTATGAAGCAGGTTAGAAATGATTTAATTTTGTATTTATTGGTGTTATTGTTTGCACAATGAGAAGGGTTCATGTATCCGATGGAGGATGCCAGCACCTGAGCTAATTTCTTTCCACTCAACCGGTTACATGTTTTTCTTTTATCCTGGTTCTCTGCATAGAATTTCTTCAAGCCTATTTGTTTTGCTTATGCATTTCTTGTGATATACAAAAGTTTGAGTACAAATTCTCAATTAAATGCATCATTATTGTAGTTGCAACTTAAGATTTTTTTTGTTTTTGGTGAGAATAAAATTTAATTATTTTAACATGTTATATTCCAAAGCCAATGTTGCTACATGGGCGAAACAATTTCTAAACACCATGACCGTACCTACTGAGTTTGTTAATGATAAGAACACAGATCGTTCATTTAATCTTTAACTATTTATCATCAATTTTGTACTGTTTAAATTACAGTGGCCCTTTGTTTACCACCGATAGATCACTGTATCTATGGATTGTGGGGGATAGATATGTAGCTACTTTGACTTGGTGCTCAGCATGAGAAACTCAAGCAAAAGCTGTGGCTTTCCTCGTATATGTTGCTTAATTAGCAAAGAAACAACAACAATAACCATGTTTATATCTACATTCAAGTATGCCACTTCATTAATGAAAAACCTAACTTTTGTTATCATTCAGTAGAAAATATCGTTTGATATGCTGATTCATTTAATGCAAGGAGCTTGAATGTCATAATTGATTTTTTTTCTATGTTCGGAGGTTTTATGAGTCAAGTTTGTCTATAGTCAGCTTTCTGTCCAATAACGATGGTGTTCTACACCAATAACAATAACGTGATTCATGTTTTATTTTTGGCTATCAAAATGAGAGATAATATCGTTACTTGGTACCTTTGGGTAGGATTTGTTTGTGTGTATATACATCTTGCAATGTTGGGGACCATAACAATACTTGGCAAGCCTTGTGGTCTAAGACCAATTGGAAGAGAAAAAACATGTACT